AAGAGGATTGGAGATATTCAGGCGCTGTCGGTTTCCCCCTCGTGCTTGGAATTTGCTCCCGGTATGGCGAAGGCTTTCATCCTCCCTAGACCGGGGTATGTTCCGAAGGTTCCAACTACGGTTGTCAAACCTATAGTGCTACAGGCCTTCTGTCCTCCTCCGTTTCGGACACCAGACCAGGAGAAACTAAATCTGCTCTGCCCGGTGAGGGCCTTAGACGCATATGTCCACAGAGCTGCCCTGTGGAGGGAATCAGAACAATTATTTGTCTGCTTTGGGCCTCCTAATAGAGGTTCTGCGGCGTCTAAGCAGAGAATGAGTAAGTGGGTGGTCGAGGCCATTTCACTTGCTTATGAGTCCTCTGGTCAGCCTTCTCCCTTGGCTGTCCGGGCTCATTCAACCCGGAGTATGGCTGCCTCTAAGGCATTTTTATCAGGAGTTCCCTTGTGTGACATCTGTGAGGCGGCAGGATGGTCTTCACCTCACACATTTGTGAAGTTTTACCATCTGGACTTCAGCTCCACCCCAGGGGCTCAGATGCTTTCGTCAGAATGTGCACTCTGATATTCATACAACGGACACCTGCTCGCATGGCGGCGTTGGTATTAGCGTTCCCACGGCGTTTACACGCAGCTCGAAGTTCCCTGAATGGGAATGTCTCTGGTTACGTATGTAACCTTAGTTCCCTGAAGGGAACGAGACGCTGCGTGTCTATGCCATACTCCCAGCATGCCCGTGAGCGCTTGCTTCAGTCCTATCAGAAGCTGTTGCGCTTGTGTTTCGGGGATGCTTTATAGTTTCCTGGTCGATACGTCACCCCGCCTATGACGTTCCGTCTCGCCATTGGACAGATTTCATACGTGCTTCATGACTCGTCACGCAGAGGCGTTCCCACGGCGTTTACACGCAGCGTCTCGTTCCCTTCAGGGAACTAAGGTTACATACGTAGGCTAACCAGAGACGTTTTTTGTTTTGTTTTTTTGCAAAAACAGTTTCATGGTCAGTACATTTTCTTAAGTGACAGGCCATTGGCAAGTATAACAAGATAGTTTAAGGCAATCGACAGCATTTGTAGCATAATGTTGATTACCACAAAATAATTTTGATGCATCACTTTTTATCTTAAGAAAAGTAGAAATCAAGGGTACATGAGGCACTTTCAATGAAATGTAAAAGCAGAATGGTGAAACTTATAATTTTATAAAAGCACTTACATTATCTTTCCAAAGTATTATTTGAACCATTTTTCGTACGAATTAATTTCGGACTGGACTGCTCCGCATTTTATGATAAATTCACGAGTTCACACTTACAAATACGTCAGATAGAATAAATGCATATTTGGCGTGCTGTCCGAGGAGAGGGCTCCGGGCTCGGTATGTAGCCCGAACCCAGAGTACTCCCCCCGTATTGCTGGTTAAGAAGTAACCAGTTGAGTGTGAAGAGACGGGGTGGTGGAGGGATGCTGTAAAACTGTCAAGGAACATTGGTGAGTCAAATGAGTATAGACCCTTTTACAGTTTTTGTGGGCGGAGCTTAGGTGGAGGCAGAAAGATCCATCTGGCCGCTTCACTAACGCTAGTTAGCAAGGATTGTTAGCTTGTTTTTTTAACAATGACTGGAGAAAATCCGATATTATCTTAATGTGTAAGGTCACTCAGTGTCCAGGACCGTGATTGTTATTTCCAAAAGTTATTTTTAACGGACGGAACCAGATTGGCCGACCTGTAGCCGCCTACACGCTCACTCAATGCATGGATGATCTGACAGGATTAACGTACGTTACCTCGGTTGAGTGGCCTGACTTCTAGACCTACCTTATAGAGAAACTGATCGTAAATAGAAACTGAGGGCATATAAATCTTTAGATGCCTATATGGTCCTGTACAAGACTTGTGTGTACGATCCGCAGTTCTGCCGAGCCAGCGCCGAGACCACGACAACGTAAAGAGAGTGACATTACAGTGCGATTTTAATGATGTGAATATTTTCTAGAAATAAAAGTTCCAGATACAGCATATTCATTTTTCATCAATTCTTGCACCAAACAACACAACAAGATGACATTTAATAATAGTAACAATTATTTAAGCTCCTTATTATGTAGCCGAATCTGTGCTGTTTTGTATTGGCCGCCTCCAGTTTTCACTTTGTTTTGCCTCCAGCTAGCGCCGTGACGTAACTGTGACGTCGGCGCAAAAGGGGTCTATAGGTCTCCAACTCAAGATGACTGGATAGACATGTTGATTACTGGTTGTCGACAGCTGGTTGGAATGATGTGATAATTGGATCAATTATTTGATCGTGCTCCTCCCGAATTTTGTTTATAAAACATCATCCTTTGAAAGACAAGCGCACGCTGGCAAAAATTGGTTCCACGAAAAATACAAAACAGCAACAGTGAATGATGCTGTTGCACCATCTTGTTACCAATGGTCTGCAATTTTATGTACCCTAAGTCTACTTTTTTTTTTACACATAGCTAACAATATTATTAAGTGTAACTCTTAAGTGTACAGTAGGTTTTGTGGGTCTGTGGTTCTGAGTCTGTCCCATATTCCACTCTGAGAAATCTTGTTACCCTACCTTTAATGTTTCTATATGTAAATGATCTTTGTAACAACTGGCTAAATTCTGCATGTCAGCATAATCCTTACAATATTTTTTTTAGTACGGGCTAAGTAGATGAACAATAAACAGGCATTAACCTGTAAGTTTGGATGTTAATATATTAATAAGATCCTGGTTAAAACATCAAAACCATGGAGATTTCAGAATTGTTGCAGTTCATCCACATTACCATTATTGTTTTTCACATTTGAATGGAAAATCTGCGTGCGTGATGTAACCCACTAATGTAACCCACTTCACTTCAGGGAGCCCTATGATCTTCGAATTGTCTACAGAATGAGCCGATCAACATTGGCGGGCATGAATCGCGTCACACGCCCCACCCAGCAGCGTGGTTATAAACAGGAAGCAAGTGTACGCACTCATTGTTTTCCGCTGAGGCGCCGAGATCGTGACGGCCATTACAGGACGTCACGTCTCCCGTTCCCTTCTTCAGGGAATAAGGGTAATATATTAGTAACCGAGACGTTCCCTATCAGTTGCTCATATTCGACATAACGTCGATGTGACGACGTAATTGGGATCACTATGGAAAACGCCACGGTTTTGCTGCCACATCCAGCGCCCTAAGCAAGACTCTCAAAACCCCAACTGGCTGGGGCGGAAGGCCTGCATAGAGGGAGTTTAAACTGCTGTTACGTTATACCCAACACAGTGGAACTCTGGAATAACACTGGGAAAGTGTGCCTTTCCAGGGTAGAGGGATGCTGTGGAAGCCACATCCTGCCCACAGGGAGGTAACATGTGAAGAATACACATATGGACTGGCCCGTTAGGGGCAGTGCAACATGGGGAATGTCACTTGGGTGGCCTGAGAAGGGGGGGGGGGGGCAACACCGGACAGTGACGGCAGGGAAGGGAAAGACACAGACTCACCCCAGGGAGCTGGTCGTGGAAGAATACGCATAGGGATGGGAATCGAAAACCGGTTCCACTCGAGAACCAGTTCTAAGTTTTACGATCCATCGATATTGTATGGCCTCGACTTTAACAAGTCCCATCTTATTGATGCTCCTGCTCTAAGTCATAGTAAGTAGGCTACAGACCATGAATTCACAAACTTTCCCTTTTTGTCCTTTATCAAGCACCATAGTACGATTTCCAAAGCGAATTTTTCACCATAATAAAGCACCATTGCATCGATTTCCAAAGCGAATTTTTGTACTGCCAAAGTCTTATTTGATCGGTGAGTAATGTAGATGAACTGCTGCACTTGTGACAGGGCGCATGTTTAACTGAACGAGCAGAAAGTAAGTGAGCCCTGGTTGTGCGTGCGAGCACTCTCTATCTTTGGAGCAAGATCAACATGTAGGCTATAAAACCTACCTAACCTGTTAGGTGTCGTCCAGCCCTCAACTTTACAAATGTCTGTCAGCGAGGCGCCGTGTGCTAGCACGCAAGAAGAAACGACACTCTGACCCAGGAGCTCTGGGTCAGAACCACCCTCGTTCATGTCCATGAGCGCCTGGGCCTGGTGGACCTGCAAGAGCGCCATGGCATGGAGGATGGAAGCAGCCTGTCCACAGGCTTTATAAGCCTTTGCCGAAAGACCAGACGAAAACTTACAAGCCTTGGAAGGGAGTTGTGGATTACCCCGTCACAGGAAAGCATAGCTGCCCTCTCTGGAGCGGTCTCGGGCACCGCTACACTCCCCGTAGGGGGCAACGCAGCCGAGTCCTCATCTCCAGAGGACTGAAGCTCCCCCTCTGATGCTGTGACTGACATCTGGTCATCAGGTGAAGCTCCAAAGGACACGACTGGTCGTCCATGCGAAGGACCAGCATGCTGCTTTGAAGGCTCCAACGGTGGCAGCGCTTGTGAGGCGTGAGGAGCCCATGGAGATTGCCACGGCGGGGAAGCCCTCACGGTGATCCTCAGATCACCCTGGCCATGCGCCAAAGTAGGTCTATTCTAAGGTCCAGATCTAGATCGGGCATAGGCGAGGAGACTGCACCTCCCTTGAGGTAAGCGAGTCTCGATCTAAATGCTGCTAAAGTTATATTCCCACAATGGGAACATGAACTATTCAAAAAGGCTGCCTCAGGGTGTTGAATGCCCAAACACAAGAGGCAACTATTGTGGCCATCTGCTGGCGCCAGGGAACGACTGCATCCAGAAACCACAAGCAGAATGACATCCTGAAAAGGACGCAGAGACACGCTTGTTTTGCTCTTTTAGTGAAAACAAAAAACAGAAAAACCCAGGGGTATTCATGCACGCCAACGTTCATTGGCTCGTTTTGTAGACACTCGAAGTTGATAGGGGTCCCTGAAATGATCCCAATTACATTGTCACGTCAACGTTACGTCAAACATGAGCGAGTGGATAGGGAACCATATTTTTATATCCTGTGATTCATATGGTCTTACCGCCACAGCCTCCAGAATCTGTTTGATAACGTGCGCTGCATCTCGCTCGCTGTAGTAGCCCCTCTCCACAATCCTGAAACAACACACAGCTCATGTATGAAGATGGTCAAGACAAATTCTGTAAAAAAACAACAACAAAAATCACATAGCACATATAGACTTTTAAATGTTTTTAAAAATGAACAGCTGATGTATGTGTGTCTGGCAGCATCTAGTGCTCTGTTTAGCAGTGTTGATGTGTCGGCAAACCCTAAACTCATTATTGGGAAGTTGTTTTATTTAATTTCGTCTCACTTATAGGCAGAGGAGCAGACAGGCGTTGTAATAACCTGAGCCGGAAGGTGTTGATGATAAAGAAAGAATGAGAGTCATGTGCTGAAGACCACAATAAAGGCCAGATTTCAAGCAAAATCGAAGAACGGAATTCATTCTGAGTTTTTTTTTTGGAGGGAGTTTAGAACTTTCCAGAAAGTTCGCTATGGTTGGTAAACACTTTTGAACTCTCATTGGTCCATAGTGATTATCTAATAGGTAGGTGTGTGCTGAGGCTCGACCTTCTTTCATGTGAAAATCTTTTCCTGTTCATTTCTCCTGTTCAGTCTGTCGTAGTCAGACGTCCGTGACTGAGAGTGACATGAACACAATGGAGATCTGCTTTAAATGGACTGCATTTAGAAATGCACTGCAAGTTTGAAAATCAAGTTGTACTTCTGATGAAATGAGACAATTTCATTATTTTTCATGTTTAGTATGGTAAAGCTGCTTGATTTTAAGAAATATATTGTATAGGTATAGTATAAGTATAAGCGTGGCGTGACTTTACTAGAGTGCCGATTTGCAGAGTTCATGCAAACATATCCACGTTGCTATTATCAGATGCTTTTCTTATGCTTTCTTTAAAAAATGCTTTCTGTTTTCTCAATTTTGTTGTGTTTATTTTGTTAATGAGAGAGGATAGCATGCATACACAGTGGTAAAGCCATAACTATCTTTTATAATATACTGTATATGTGGACATACTAAATAGCTGGTTCAGTACTAAAAGGTGGAGCTAGACTCACTGCAGGCCGCTGATTGGTGGACAGAGTATCGTCACTCGCGCGTGCTACAAGGGCATTAGAAGCATACAGTTGAAATATAATACTACTGTTATTGTGTCACGAACTGTAGTTTTAAGAGTTTTTCAGGCGAGAAAGTAGTTTTTTAAAGCTCAAATCAGTGGTTTATTTATAGATTTATGATAATTAGACTGAGATCCATTCCAAGCGATCACCGGACGCTCACGCTCGTGTCCCCCACCTGGAACAGCCTTTCCTCGGCTAGTCATACTGATGTGAGCCGCTGACTCGGACGTCTCTGTAGTGGTTAAACATGAGATATAGTTTGTCTTGTACAGACCTAACAGGTGATCTTTGGTCTCGTGAATCTATAATTCGTTCCCTGGCCAATAGTTTTGGCAGAAGGCTAAGTGAAGTTTCATATCGTTGAGCGCTGAATTTGTATATTTGACTGACTGAATTGTGTCTTTATGTTATTTAAGCTTTACTATATATCTTTTTGTACCTTTTACTTATACTTTTATAATGGCTATTATTGATAAAACTGAAATTCAACAAAAATAGATAGTTTTGTCATTTTTTTTATTTTATTTTATTACAAGATCATCTGTAATGTTGTTTATTGCAACATTTGTACCAATGCGATATGCAATACATTACATATTGCCTGGAATATGTTTAATATTTTTAAATTTAAACGAAAAAAGGCAGGGTTGTGTTTCATATTTAGTTTTGTTATAAATATAACGTTACATACATGCAGTGAATATAATCAATTGAGAATGAGGAGTTGTCGTCATTGTACAGAGCCCCTCCCCTCTCTGCCATGTTGGTAGGATTCCCACGGCAAAACATGATTGTTTACGTGTGTTCTTAACTCGGTAGTAGAAGAGGTTCTCGCAATTCCGCACTTTTTTTACCATGCCTGGAAGTCACTGCTGCGTTAAAAACTGCTCCAATAACTCACACGATACATATGGAAAACATAGGGACAATGGAATACAGTTTTTTAGGTTACCGCAATGGACACAGCATCAGGTAGAGTTTCTGCCGAGTAGAAGCTGGATTGCTTGGTTGGCTAATGCCTTTAGTATACGATTTTCACTGTTTGCTGTGCCTTAACGAACATACGCAAAAGTGTTGTTTGAGAGCCTTGTTCATTATTTCTTTGAAATAAATGTTTGAAACAACTTGATATGGCTTAAGTATATTTATTGAGAACTGAAATATATAACGTTACATATTTATTTTTGGACAACATAAGTTACATGGACAACATAAGTAATAATAATAAAATAATAATACTGTTATTAGTGCAAAAGAACAAATATATTGATGCTGCTTCTCCAAATACCACTGTTTTGCGCTTTTGTGAGATTGTTCCAGTAAGGTTCCTTTTATTTTGCTATTATCTTTTTGCCTTGCTTTCCTTTCTTCCTTTTTTCTCGTATTCTTAGATCTGTCTCTGTCCTGCCAAAATAATAAATGCGCAAAAATAATAAATGCACAAAAATTAAAAAGAGCTCTGGAATGTTTAGTCGCACCTCTGTGAGGTTCTAAAGGCGTTGCCACTGGTAACAGATAGCGCCTCCAACCATCATGGCCGACCGGCTCAGACCCCGCCCAAATCGGCACGTGACTCCTCATTCTCAATAGGCTATGCGTTGCCTGAACCACATTTGTGTGCTTTATAATGTTTAAAATGTAATGAAATTAAATCGAAAAGAAGCAGAGTGGTGTTTTATAACATATTTCGTTTTATTGTTGCCTAAAATGTACATACAGAGATAACCGGAGTAGCAGAGCCAGAGCGAGCTGAGTGCCACGTTCAAGAACGCGCTGTTCCATTACCAGAATTACTGGACTCGTGTACTCGGGATCATCCTCCTGAGTCGGACTTTGCGTTGGCTACTTGGTATTGAGAAACTCCTAATGCCAGCGCTTGTTTCTTGTGAAAAACATGCCGAGAAGCAAGAACAAGATCTGCTGTCTGTCATCCATTGTTGTTCACTTGTTGTCATCCATTGTTATTCATGTCGCTTTCTTCGCGCGAAAATGACGTCGATCGCTTCTTTCCAGCAAACACCACGCCTATCAAGTAAGGGTACTGTTGGCGGTGGAAACGCAAGCCGGATCATGGTGTACCGACCCGACCCATACTGTACTGTACTGTACCGCACCCCTCAGTGGAAACGAGCCATAAGTCGACAAGTTTCAATAAACTGTTATTTATTCAAAGAGCAATGAATCCGTGGTGAAACAAAATAATATGCCAAGTATACTTGCCACCAGACTTATTCAGGATACTTCAAGTGTGTTAATGATTAGTTAACTTGAAGTGGAACAACTTATTTTGTACTGAGTATTTAGTTGTAATTAAACTGTGGTAAAGCATAACTTTAAGTGTATACTTTTGTGTACTTTTGTAACTTATTTAAGTATACTTAATATACTTTAAGTATATGCCTACATGCTTGATTTGTGATATTAAAGTGTACTTTACTTAGTTTAAAAGTACATTACAAATTCATTATGTGTGTCTTCAAAACATACAAGTCATACACCATAAGTCTATTATATTTGTGTAAAAGGTATATGCTGCTTAGTAATACCTTTGGCTTATGCCAAATACAACAAATGCACATTAAAGGGGGTCGTTTGCGATTTCACTTTTTTTTATTTTAAATAGTGTGTAATATTGCTGTTGATGCATGAACAGTATCTGCAAAGTTGCAGCAGAGATATCGTCTTTTAAAAATCAGGACGTATATTGCCTACAAAAACGACTCGATTTGGACTACAGCTGGGTTTTAGATGTCACTAACCCACACATTTGCATCAACCCTCCCTCCGGAAAATGCAAAAAAGGGCATGCGCATATTTCTGCGGCTCGTCGAGTGTGTTGTGTTCACCCAGCTGTCAGGTCTTCTGTGTTCGAGCTTCCCACGGACGCTGTCAACAATGGATACAATTTATGTTTGATTATGTTCCTGAAATGATCGTAATTTATCTCTCTGTGCTGCGCAATTTACAGAAGACAGCTTCCAGAATCTCCACGAATTCAATGCCAGATTCAACAAGAAAATGTTACTAAAACATGAAGCAGTTCCAACTTTAAAACCAGAGGCAGCAGTTGTTGGGCCACAACCTGTAAGTAGGCAAAGACTTAATCATTTTAAATGCATTTGCATGTATAATTCCAGACGTAGCCTTGTGTTTTATTTTTTTCAAATGCCAGCGCTGGCTTTATAGTCACTAGGCTACTAGTTATGCTATTTTGTGTCTACGACAAACCCGTACAAACATTATGGACCTGAATTTTGTATAAGTACTAATGTTTTAAACGTATTTTTCATGTGCTTTATGACGTTATTTTCGATTTGATCAAGAACCTAAACTAATGCCAATGCTGTTTGAGTATAACATTAGTAGCCAGTCAGTTGCTATTGTTGCCAGTCAGATGCTATTGTGTTAAACAAACGTGTATAAAGTTAAAAAATGTAGCATACCATTCAGAAACGTTTTGTAAGAGCCGTGTGTGGTGAGGTTCTGCTTGCCTCTCTTCATCGCCGCTTTCTGGGTCTGACTGATTCTGGCTCATGATACTGCAGTTCGACACCATTATTTACATCTGGACCGGATCGCAGGCATGTTTCGCCCGTAAAGGTAATGCAGGCATGTTTCGCCCGTAAAGGTAATGGGCGTTAACCTTCCGGACAACGTGAGCGACAATTTAACCAATCACAACACACCGGCCCAAACTAACCAATCTGAGCCCACTGCCTCTGAGGGAGTGGGCTGTTTCTGAGGGAGTGGTTTCATAGAATCAGGAAGTCAACCGGTCGTTCAGGGGACATAGGAGAGCGTGGCTTACAATAAACAGGGCTGCCAACTCTCATGCATTGAGCGTGAGACTCATGCAATTGAGCCAATTCTCACGCTCTCACGCCACCCCTCCCGATTTCTCACGCTAAAGTGTCAAGCCAGTCGGCAAAATACCTGAAAGATAAGTTTATCTATAAACCCAACAGTTGAGCCACAAGTTTGATCGACTAGTTTTACTGCAAATTAGCTAAAATATCCTCTAATCTAGTTTAGAGCGATCGTGCATGCAAGACAGATCATGTTGAGCTCAATACATGTTGAGCTCCTAACGGCACGGACGCAAAACCAGGACTGGAGTCAAAGCACATTCCTCTCTGCACTCTAAGCATTCTGTTATCACTCCGATTTTGTGCACTATGGGTTTTCCAGTCTCACTCACAGGAAAAAACTGCTCCGTGTTCAATCGATTCGATTTTAAAAGATAATCTTATGTTTTACTGACTGCTCCCCCGACAAAAATACTTTTGTCCTTATTTCTACACTTGCAAGAAATAAACCCTTGAGCTTTTATTTAGGAGAAAACACCAGATAACCTAACCATGCTGATCGCGTGAGCAAAGTGCACACGTTTCTCTAAAACACCCAGAACAAACAGAATGCCTTGTGAAAGTGAAACAGAAAGTCTTGTGCTGTTTTATGAAGGCAAACGCCATATCATGGTTTCGTTTTTTAGTTCATTGGCAAAATATAACGCTAGAGACTTTCATGTTAGTTTATAATTTTACATCTCATATGTTCGGCAAAAGGCGGATTCGAACTCGGGTCTGAGCACTGAACTCTGTCATAAACTACATGCTCTATCATCTACGCCACTATAGGTGTTCCGTGGTGGTCGTGTTTTTGCTATAAAGACAGGCACTAAAGGCGGCTTGCTTTAGTGCAAATAGTTTATTTAATTTAGTGCAATTTTATTGCCCTCCCCCACCACCACCCTTTCATTATGTGGGCAAAAACAGTTATACACAATATTTCTTAATATCTTCTTTTGTGTTCCAGTCATCCCTTTAATCGGATGATGCACCTCATAAATCCTGTTTCACATTTGAATTGCATCTAATTAATGGAGGACATAATACCTGTCAAAGAGCTCTCCACCTGTGACCAGCTCAAGGATGAGAAAGATCTCGGTCTCTGTCTCAAAAATTTCCTTCAAACGAATCTAAATGAAAACATAGAAAGAACAGTCTTATCAGAGCAAGCCTATCCATATTCTAATGGAAAACAATGAATATGAAATATTTCATAAAAATGTGAAATTCACCATTCATTGCGGGGAACATAATATCTTACAATATTTGGATGAGACAGACGCAGCAGGACTCCAATCTCTGTCCTCACAATTTTCTTGTCAATCTGAGTTGATGACACATTGAAAATAATCTCAAACAGTCATTGTGGGATTTCAGAAAAAAAATAAATATGCTCCTAGAAAATCACCAATCAACTTACAGTTTTCTTCAAGACCTTCACAGCAAAATGTTTCTCAGTCTGCTTCTCTTCACAGCGAAACACAACAGATGTGGCACCCCTGGTGGTTAACACAAAGCAATCGTAATATACTCATAATTAAATAAGGTTCTTAAATTTGATAAACAAGCATGATAAAAAGTACCATACGCAAACACATATCACAAAGTGACAGATAGGAAGATGCTAATAAAACCAAGAAATTTGATGAAATAAAAATGTTGGCATTTCACAATTGTAACCTCCACCACTCACCTAATCTTGGAGGTTCCTACCTACATTCTATCTTCCCCATCACCACTAATATGTCCATGCATTTCCATGACAACTGAGTAGAAACAATCAGTCTCCATGAGGCCATGAAATCTTAAAGAAGACACATACTAAATTAAACTGAACCAAAAACGAAATGGGCCTATTAAACTTCAGACAAGGCTTTAAAAATGCTCACATATACAAATACTCAACACTCTGGATTCAGCTTGATGTACTAGCCTGAACATAATATCCCATGTATTACAAAATCACCTTCCCTCTCTAATGCATAAGCTCTTTTGCATGGCTGTGTTATGTTATACAATACATGTGTTATATATATAACCATATATGGTCCTCATGTTGTCTGTCAGATCTTTGCTTTTCATGGTCATTTAATGACTCAATCAGACAAGCACTCAAAGAGAAGGACATCATTTCTCCATCTGCTGCCTGACATCAGTGTCTGATAAACAGTCTTCAGCATAATCAGTAATAGACATCAAACTACTCACTGTTACTGTATACAATGTGCAGAAATATGCGTACATTAAAACCATTTAATTCTGTGAAAACGAGCCCCATAGAAGTCCTTCTCTGAGCTGAATTTCATGCCAGGTTACACGGCTATAATGACAGACTGAAATTAGGTGACAGCATAATTGCTCAACATTTTGCATCCCACATCCTGGGACGTAATGATAACATTTTAAAATACTTGGTGACATTTGGAAAGGTTGAGTGTTTTCTTAACATGCTCATACTTAGTTTATACAGGGAGATCACATTTTAGCTAAATTATTTTAGAAACCACAATACCTAGTATCACAATTTAGTATCACAATACATATAGCATTACAAAAACCTTAATTACAACACAAAACCTGAACACCTGCTCATAGACACTGGCAACACAAATGTTAACACTTATATTTTAGATGTTAATATAACCAACTGCTAGCCTAACCAACTGCAGAAATAACACTATTATAACAGCTCCACACAATAAATACCCATTAATTAAGTATAACGAAAGAACAATAATTTTACCAAAATTGAACAAATTTTAAATCAGTTATCTTTATTTACATAGCTGTAATTTATTCAAATGTATTATTTATTCAGATTTTCAAGTTAGTTTTATTTTAATGATAACTAATCATAATCAAACAAATCAACTAATCACACAGCCAACTATCGGTAACAACATAACAATGATATTTATAAATATGTCATGCATTTTTATTGTTGCAGTCTCATGATTACTTATTGTGGTAAAAAGCAGAAATAAAATAATTAATTAAATATTGGTTACCCAGATAGCATGGTAACATTAATTCAATGTTGAGTTTTGATCCAAACCATCATTTTGGTTGAGATTGACATTTCAATGTTTAAAGTGTGTTGGATCAGCATTGAAATGTTGATGAAAGCCAACAGCACACATGGGTGGAGACAGTGACATTGAACTAACGGTGATTTGTAGTTGATGAGCACAAGATCATTCAGGCATGTATCTCGCAGAACACAAGTGGGTGTTTCTCAGTCAGTGGGGCGTTTAAACCATAGATATCTATATAAAGGCTAGATATCTCGTCCGCGCTGCTGGCCAATGGAGGTCGACGTCAGCACCTGGCGGCCATCTTGTCACAGGCAGCTCGCTCACTGGTAACATTGTTTTAATGGTGCATGTACTTTTTAAATCACCGTAACTTGCTCAATTTTCTACCGATTTTCAAACGGTCTGGTTTGTTATAAACGGCAAAGATGTAGTTATAATACTGCATACTTAGGAATAATAAGTGTATAAATAAATAATCATCCAGAATTATAGCCACGTTAATAACGTTTGTAAGAAACCAAACCGTTTGTAAATCCGTCAAAAGAGGAAACGCTCTCAGAAATCGAAGTCATCCAGCCAGAAGGGTGACCTGAGGGACGTCATTCAGGCTAGGAGGGCTTCGGGAAAGAGGTCCTAACTGTGGTGGGACCTCGGAGCGCTGCCCCCTCCGCTGTGAGACAACCGAGGTTGTTCTCGCAGCGGAGCCCTCTAGGAAAAGATGCATGCACGCCGTTAGCAGCGCTTCGGGACGCATCACTTTCCAGCGGAAATATGGGTATAAAGCATCGGTTATGGTCGCAAAGGCCATATCGACTACAGCCTGCCGGTATTCCGCTGCAGGAAGTCGAAAAAGATACTCAGAAGACACCAGAGGCCAGTCTCGAGAGGCTGGTACCCTTAGTAGATTTTGTAGAGTGGTGGTATCATCTTCCCAACATATCTGTGTGGGTCCTGTAGATAATATGAGCTGGGTACAGACTGCAGTTCGCGCACCGCCCCCCCCCCCACCCCCCCAAGTTTTCTGGGGTGGTGCAGACTACGGTGGTCCCAGAGCAGGCTCAGGTGCTGGAACAAGAAGTACAAACTCTACTATTGAAGGGAGCCATAGAATGTGTTCTTCCGTTAGACAGGGAGTCCGGGTTTTACAGTTGGTACTTTATAGTTCCAAAAAAGGATGGGGGGTTAAGGCCAATTTTAGATCTCAGGGTTTTGAATCGATCTCTGAGGAGGTTCAAATTCAAAATGTTGACCATTCCTGCAATCGTGAGTCAAATCAGGTCCGAGGACTGGTTTGTCACAATAGATCTGAAAGACGCCTATTTTCACATCTCCATCCTTCCATGTCACAGGAGATACCTGAGGTTCGCTTTCGGGGGCGAAGCTTACCAATATCGGGTTCTTCCGTTCGGCCTAGCACTCTCTCCCCGCACATTCACCAAGTGTATGGACGTAGCCCTTGCTCCACTGAGACTTCAAGGGGTCCGTATATTGAATTATCTCGACGACTGGCTCATTCTGGCTCAGTCTCGGGAGATGGCAGTTCGGCATCGAGATGTCGTTCTTGGCCACATTCAAAAATTGGGGTTAAGACTCAATATGAAGAAGAGTGTGCTAGAACCATCCCAGTCCACGACTTTTTTGGGAGTCGTGTGGAATTCGACTACAATGCGAGCATGAATGTCTCCCGCACGTGTCAAGTCGATTCTGGCGATGGTATCCAGGGTGAAGCTGGGCCAGGCCATCACTGTAAAACACTTTCAAAGGATGCTGGACCTCATGGCAGTGGCATCCAACGTTATCCCTTTGTGCCTCCTACAAATGAGGCCTATTCAGTGGTGGTTGAAAACCAAGGGGTTCTCCCCCAGGGGGAATCCGTTTCGTATGATCAGAGTAATGCCCAGATGCCTTCGTTCTCTGCACATATGGAAGAAACCTTGGTTCCTATCCCAAGGGCCAGTGTTGGGGGTGTCATGTCACCGGGAAACCGTTTCGACGGACGCCTCCCTTACTGGCTGGGGCTCGGTCATGGACGGCCGCTTTGCCAGGGGTCAATGGCAGGACCATCATCGCACTTGGCATATAAACTGCATAGAGATGTTGGCTGTGTTCAGGGCTTTGAGGAGCTTCCTCCCAGACCTCAAGGGTCACCACGTCTTAGTGCGGACAATACGTCAGTGGTGGCCTATCTAAACCGACAAGGGGGACTCAGATCGCGCCCTCTATGCAGACTGGCGCATCAAATTATCCTTTGGTCCCAGGGGAAGATACTGTCAATAAGAGCAATGTATATTCCGGGGGTTCAGAATCAGGGAGCAGACATCCTGTTGAGGCAGGGGCTGAGGCCCGGGGAATGGAGACTTCATCCGGAGGTGGTGAAGTCCATATGGGAGAGGTTTGGACCAATGGAAGTGGATCTGTTTGCGTCTCGAGAGACGTCCCACTGTCCACTTTGGTTTTCCCTCTCACATCCAGCCCCACTGGGGTTGGATGCCATGGTACAGGCCTGGCCGAGGCTTCGCCTGTACGCATTTCCCCCGATCGCTCTGCTCCCGGGAGTCCTGGAGAGGGTCCGTCAGGAGGGCATCAGTCTACTTCTGGTTGCCCCAAGATGGCCAACGCGAGTTTGGTTCTCGGATATAATATCACTCCTCATAGCTCCGCCGTGGCAGATTCCTCTGAGGAGGAATCTGTTGTCTCAGGCAGAGGGCACAATCTTCCACCCTCGCCAGAGTTGTGGAAACTGTGGGTCTGGCCTCTGAGGGGGTTCAGTACCTGAATGCTGGCTTATCAGCTGGAGTGGTCGAAACCATACTTAGCTCTAGGGCTCCGTCTACCAAGAGATTATATGGCCTCAAGTGGAATGTGTTTGTCACTTGGTGTAGAGAACAGGGGCTAGATCCAGTAAACTGCCCGATGGCTTCAGTTCTGGAATTTCTCCAAGACCATTTCTCTACGGGTCTCTCCCCGTCCATTCTTAAGGTGTACGTGGCTGCCATTTCGGCTTTCCACGCGCCAGTAGATGATGGACCTCTGGGGAGGCACCAGTTGGAATTTCCTGAATAAAGTTCTAACATCATTTAACAGATTTCAAGTGTAGGACACATGAAAATGAGCAAGAATGTTACACTACAAACATAGCCCATTTCTTATGCAGAGCACATTGCTCCTTTAGTAGGAGTGAAGGCAGATGAAGATGGACAATAAAAAAAAAGAGAAGCACCCTCATAATGCTGACATTGATTATACATTGAGTTGTTGTCGACAGCATAATCACCTGACCATTTTATCACTGCTTAATCAGGTAATCATTCATATTACTGAATCTGTATTACATTTGAGAAATGTAACTGATTGTAACTGAAATGTAACTCATTCAGTTAAACTGGTTTCCACTGAAACACAATAACAAAAAACATCTTGTGTTTATTAAGAAAGTGACTGACATCTATTTTGTCATATTTAAAGAAAATAAGGTGAATCTTCAGCTTTAAAGGGATAGTTCAGCATGAAATGAAAATTATGTCATCATTTATTAACCCTCAAGTTACCCAAACCTTTCTTTGGTGAAGCGTGTTGGTAACCAGATGGTTGATGGTAGTCATTGACTTTCATATTTTTTTCCTACTATGGAAATCAATGGCTGCCGTCAACTTTCTGGTTACCAACATTCTTTAAAATATCTTATTTTGTGTTCAACGGAAGAAAGAGACTCATACAGAGTTGGAACAGCTTGAGGGTGAGATAATTATATGGCAGAATTTTCATTAAGGGCTGAACTCTCCCTTTAAAGAAATGTTCATTGAAAAAACCTAAGCTCTTTTATTCTACAAGATAAACTTGTTACTTGAAAAGTAGTTTGACAGAAAATGAGAGTTGGTTCTCACTGCGGAACATGAAATCCATGGGGAGGAGTCGGATCCAGATCCAACTCCTCCCACCTTACATACACTTAAACCTACACAACTCTGCCCCCTGATCCCTTAATCCAGCCCTAATCCCTAAACCCAACCCTAATCCTACCCATCTCCACCCCTTGGATCGTGATCCGACTCCTCCCCGTGGATCTCGTGTACTGCATTGAGGTGCTACTGGAAAATGAACTGAGATGTAGTTAATGGCTATAGGAGTTTGTTCCTCTTCATGAAGAGTTTAGCTTCAACACACCAGCCTGTAAGTTTCATTGATCCTAATGACCTTGATTATCTGACTCAGGTGTGTTTAATTAGGGCTGGAGATATCGGACACCCCTGCCAGTGCTTTTTTTTAATATCAAAGTATTAATAGATTTTAGAAAAATAAATTAAATAAACAGAATTTAACAATACTATAATCATAGTTAGAATATTTTGTGCTCAGCAACTTAAAAAAAGCGAATCGTATTTTGTTTAGTATATTAACATTCTTCAATGTGATTGTATGTATGACAACTGAATTGACTCGTTCTTGAGTAACATCATTCTTTCTTTTTCAGATTTCAGAGAACCCCAAGGAAAAGAGGAAACGTGTAGTCTGATGCAAGACAGAAAACCCTAACCTGAACCATTGGATCACCTGGACCAAGGCTGAAGTGCTTTTGTCCTATTTCTGCCCCTTTCTTTTTTAAAGAATAATCTTTTAATGTATTTCTGTGATTGATTGAATAAAATAAATTGACTCAACTGCTGAAAAGGTGTAATTTATATCTTAAAAGGTTTTCACCAAATTTTGAAATGGTCAGGAATTTGTTGACACACCATTGAAGTGTTTTAGAAATGTTCATGTTTCAACATTAACTTGGTACAGTACATCTGATGGCAACATTGACATTCCTTCATTCCTAAATGTATTTAGAATCAACATCACATTGTAACATTGATCAAACCATATTACCAAAAATTATTCTTGTTAATTTATGAGCTGATTCAACAGCAGTGATGTAGATTCAACATCATAGTGTAACATTGATTCAACAATATTACCATTTATTATTTTTGTTAATTTCAATATTGATTCAGCATCAGTGATGTAGAATCAATCATAATGTTACGTCGATTCAATAGCATTACCATTGATTTTTATTTTATTTTTTTAAACATAGTTTCAACATTAACTGGGTACAAAAGTGATGTTGATAAAATATCACTTTTTAATGTTGAATCAATACAATTACCATTGATTTTTGGTTGAAATCTGAACATTATTTCAATATTAACTGAGGGTGGAAGAGTGACGTTGAAACAACATCACTTTGTAATGTTGAAGCAAGTCAAGCAACACCATTGATTAGTGGTTGAAATCTGAACATTATTTCAATACTAACTGAGGGAGCAAGAGTGATGCTAAATCAACATCACTTCCTAACGTCAATTCAATGTAATCAGCGTTGACACATCAACACTGACTCACATTGTTTCAATGGTTACATGCTATCTGGGTCTGCATATCGGTTAATTTGAATCACTAGTTATAACAAAATAAGTCGACTATGTGTTAGCCTACATAGTGTGAATGCCATGTATTTTCAATATAATATAAAAACCTATGTTAATAGGATGAAGTAATGTAGACTACTCACCTGCCTAATTCTGGGCCCATGCTATAGAAATCCTCCACTGTCGCATCTCGGCGCGATCCATCGACCCAATATTCCACCGTGCACGCCCCGGACCGAGAGGTGGGCATGATGGACTCTCCGAAGACTGTTCTTCTGTTATATTGAATACAACTAATCCCTTAGATTAGGGAAGCCCAGGGAACCTCGAACACTTTCACATCTGGGAGTCAGCTTAAACTATATGTTTGTTAGTCTATTTGTAGCCTATAATTCTGCTGTTTCAAGTGATCAATGATTTACAATGTCCAGGTTTCCATCTGAGTGCGCGTATTAAAAGTCAGCCCAGACACTGAAGCACTGGAGTTGATCTCCAAATCAGGTCTATTTAAATTGATCTATATCTGTATCCTACAAGAAGATATTATTTTTTACGCGGTTTTCTAAAATATTGATCAAAACAGTACAAGGCTATTTTCAAAGCAGGTCTTCAGTTTCCTAGGGGCGAATAGATCCCATCCCCAAATATCCCACGACATTCAAGAAAACATCATAATCCTGCGATTCCCGATTTCACAAGCGACAGGATGATGAACGATTCCTTGCTTTGGTCCTCGACAGGATGAAAAACAAATCTTGTCTTATTTCTCAGATGCTTCTCAAAAAGCATGGATAGGTGACTTAGCAGGATGAAGATGAAGTAAATGTCGTTTTAAATATAAATATCAGACTGCTGTTTGTGCTGGTAGCCTTAGGGGTGGAGGAAGGGAGGGGGTCTGTCACACGCGCGCGCACGCGCGCGCGCACACACACACACACACACACACAGTCACATGCACACGCCATCTCAGCCAACCTCACTCTGCTGCAAATGGGCTGCAAATGGGAAGCGGAATCTTCAATCAAAATAACGAATGTGCTTCTGATTGTTACGGTGAAATGCCATAATATGGTTTGTATCCTGTGGTGACGTCGTTGGCCCGGTTCGCGGGCAGTTGTTAATGGAGTTTGGCATAATAAAGACGCACATTGAATCAACTCTTGATTATTCATGGTCTATGTTTTCGCATAAAACAACATTATCTTGCTAGACTTTATTCCTGTAACTATCGTGTTACTTCCTACCAGGTGTCGGACGCTGTCAGTTAGATCACCTCACCAGAGTCAGAGCACTATTGTTCTTCACGCGCATAGTAACTGAAATTTAAAACTGTCTAAAGAAAAGGCTCAATAAACTATTGTATAGATAAATGCTGTTTAATACACTGTCCATCAATATGCATTTCCTTTGTGCTTTTAACTTTTCAAAGCGGACTCGACGCGTAGCATGCATAGTGTGCATACTCGGCTGCGTGCTGTAACTCCACGTGGTTTCAAGCGCCTCATTCTGCGCTCGGAATGCGCATAAGCGCTTTGTGCCGCACTGTGTTGGAGTCATTCATATCATAATGCAGTGACGTAATTAAAGCTTATTAACATTAATAATTATTAATGTTGCTGCCTCATTAAATAGCTGTGCTATACATTTAATGTCTCAATTTTTTTAGTATATAAAAAATATATAAAATAATTACTTGGCTATATATAAAATAATTATCTTTTTCATTTTTGTTATATTGTTTTTCATGAATGTATTTTACAACAATACAAAGAGTAATATGTATTATTCACTAATCTAGTTTATAACAGCATTTGTTGTCATAGATTATGATCATATATTTTGGGGATTTGTTGTTTATCTTTATATTGAAGCTGTCTGTATTAAGTAGATTGTGTTTAACACACAAGAGTGATAATCAGTTTAACACACAGTTATAGAAATTCTACTTGCTTAAAAAAAACTGTACTGCTATTTAAAATGTAGAACACTGCTGTTTAAATTGTTTTAACTTTAAACCTGTTGGTAGCTAGCTAGCTTTAAGTACTGAAGTACCTGCATTTTCTTTTATATATATATAGTGTTTGAATAAAGGGTGGGATGTGAACTATATACTGGAGGTATATTTTAAGGGGCTAATTGAGAAAATTGCTATATTTTTTATTAGTTTAAAAATAAAATAAAAATATCGGATTAATATCGGTATCGGCAAAAGCCAAAACTGTGGCATCGGTATCGGTATCGGAAGTGAAAAAGTGGTATCGGGACATCCCTAATTAATAATCATGAAAAATATTTTTAATTGAACTCGAGTGGACTCTGGAATTCCGAGTCCTAAAAAAAAATTGTTCGAGTAGGCCTACGAGTCAATTCCGAGTCCAAATGGACATGAGTCCATGACAAGACCAAGACCATTAAAATATGGTCTCGAGACCGAGTCCGAGACGAGTCCGAGTCTCGAGTACTACAACACTGGTCAGGGGACATATCAAAAAATTGGGACAATTTCAGAGCGGAGTTCGAGGACTATGAGCTTGCTACCGGGCTTAGTGAGAAGCCCAAAGAGGTGAGAGCAGCAGCGCTGCGACGATTAATGGGTAATGAATGTCGACATATCTACAGTCATGTGTTGAGCGAGGAACAAACGAAGGATCCGAAAGTCATACTTGATGCATTAGGAGAGTATTTAAAGCCTGCGAAAAATGTGATCTACGAAAGATATATGTTCGGTTTTTGCAAGCAGGAACTGGACGAGCCTATAGACAACTTTCTCACGAGGCTGTGGGAACGAGCATCGACCTGTGAGTATAGGGAGCTCAAAGATGAAAATATAGCTGCGAGCAGCGATGGCGGGCCCAAGCCGGTGGCACCGCAACCCCGGTTCCTTTAGTTACCTAAATGCACCCGGGTGGCGGTGCCGAAGGCTTTGGCCCTTTTATGATTAAATGTTAAAACGGCTTGCCATACTCTGTCATTTCGACTAGTCACAATTATGTTACAGATATCTTAAATGATAATACAAACTATCCAAAATGTAATTACGAATAGACAGAAAGACGTTGTTGATATCTACAATGTTAATTCCGGACAGGCAAACTTAGCTTTTAAATGTTAAAAGGGCTTGCCATACAGGGACGTAGGCTCAGAGAGAGGCTCACCATATTCAAACCAAAATATCTGACTTCCTCTTGGTCCGAGCTAATGACTATGTATTAGAAAGTTGTCTGGCTTGAGGAGTACAATGTATATAGCGATTTTTGTAACTGTAGATAAAACTAACAACCCCACTTTTGTCAAAAGGTGGCGCTATTTAGTCCTTGCACTATGCCCGTTTCTGAAACTTTGCACATGTCTACTGGCTAATAAATGTGATGTATCTGTTGAGTTTCAAGCAATTTCAATTTCAATTTGACTGTTGAAAAGAAGTGCGCCGATTAGATACTCAGGATCGGTATTGGCTCTGACACTGCCATCTTTGACGAGGCTGATTCAAATTCTATATTGTGCATATATACTATTCTATGTTAGGCACAAAAACTTTCTAAAGTACCATAAAGTTTTTGTGTACTGTATTATTAGTGTTCTGAAGCTATTATGTGATATAGAAATTAATATTTAAGTCATTAAATTCAAGAACACAAACTTTTCCCTCTCTGCGCCTGTCAGTCATTCTCCATTCAGCATTCAAACAGCACGTCACATTCGGTTACAGTCAATGATGAAACGATCTTCAAGATGATTGAATGTTAATCCTATTATACTGGATCTTTAAGATAAAGGTCTAAAGGTCTATATTTTCGAATGAAGAAACTTTTTCTTGCTGGACTTTATTGCTGTAACTTAACCGTGTTACTTTCTACCGGGTGTCGGACGCTGTCGGTTAGATCACAACACTAGAGTCAGAGCACTATAATTGTTCTTCACGCACACAGTAACTGAAATTTAAAACCTTTAAAAGAAAAGGCTCAATAAACTATTGCATAGATAGATAATGTATAATACACTGTTCATAAATATGTATTTCCTTTGTGCTTTGAACTTTTCAATACGGACTCACTGCGCTGTAACTTCATGTGGTTTCAAGCACATCATTCTCCGCTCGGGATGCACATAAGTGCTTTGTGCTGCACCGTATTGGAGCCGTAATATCATAATGCAGTGACGTAATGACCGATTATTAATTGCCTTTCAATTATATGTTGCTGCGTCATTAAACATCTGTCCTATGCATTTCAAACATTTATAGCAGCCATGGCTATATTTTTTTATGATTTTTGTTATCTTGTTTTTCATGAATGTATTTTTCAAAAATAAGAGCAATGTGTATTATCTATTATTAATATGGTTTATAATAGCATTTTTGTCATAGATTATGACAAAGTAATCATATGATCCACCAGCGAGGAACCAGCAGAACAGAGTGAACATTCTTTCTGTTTAGTTCAATCCTACTTAATAGGAATTTATTTAAAATGCTCGCTCTACTCCACACCATTAATGTCTTGTGCGGACATCCGTATTTCGACTTTCGGTTTTAAGTAAGCGATTTAAAAGCTCCCAAGTCCCAGCGGAGTCACATGTTGATTAACCGGTGGGAATATACACAATAGGCCTACCTGATATTGAACACAAGAGGGCAGTATAGCACTACGTATGACTCAGATTATTATTTTTTTTATGAATTTTACAACAATTCTGGCTGTTTTTGAACGTAAACATAATTCTTAAATGAAAAAAGGGAAAAATTGGGGAAGTTATAATATTTGTATAATTTAATTTAGAAACAAATGATGTATAATTACATTTTTAGAAGATATGAGGCTTTTAGTGTTTACTTTTTAGACATTACTTTAATCTTTTGCCATAGTTGCACATGTCTACTGGCTAATAAATATGATGTATCTGTTGAGTTTCAAGCAATTTCAAGCATGCTAAGAGTCCCAAAAGCATCAAAAAAGAATGTTAAAGTTTGATTCGTTGCCACGGCAACAGTATCAAAGATATCAAAAATTCATTCACAGGTCTACATCTGCCGTGTATTTACATTATACAGATGAAGTTTGAAGCAAATCGGTTAAAAATAAGAGAGTGATTTCAAAGCATTTTGAAAGTGACACACTTCCTGCTGCCAGTTGGTGGCGCTATAACTTTGACTCACAATAGTCACATCCATGTGATCGGTCTCTTACAGCGAAAACACTGCTGAAGTTTCATCAAGATCAGTTAATGTATGCTGAAGTTATAACACACATCCTGTTTCATGTTTCTCGCCATAATTTCGTTTCCTCGCCACGGCCAAACCGTTCGAGATATCAAAAATCCTGTGGCACTTTTTCATCCTTAATGTCTTGACTTCACGCTGATCGAGTTTCGTCGAATTTGGTTCAGTGCTCTAGGAGCAATAATTTAAATTCCATTGCATGTGTTTTAAACACAACCCTAAATAGCCGACTTCCTGTTGGGCTGGGGTAAAAAGTAAGAGTGTGAAGTATATATGAAACGATGAGATCTATATGTGTACCAAGTTTCATATTATTACATGCAAGTGTGTTTGATTTATGGACCAAATTTTCAGACCAAGTTTATTGACCAAGTTAATCTGATTAATAAACTAATTATATAAAACTATTGTCAATTCACTACAATTAAACTAGTTATATGCCTTTACTTATAAAAAATAAAAATAAAAACTTATTTAAAAATAATACCAGGCTTGAGAAATGTATTTTCTTTATGCAGGTCATACACACAGCAGTGAAATGGTTAAGCCCCCTCCCCCTGCACACACACACACACACACACACAGACAGCCAGCCAGTCAGCCAGCCAGCCAAAGACACAGAGACACAGAGACATGTAGGCTCAGAGTGGCCATATTCAAACAAAAATATCTGACTTTCTG